GGGGGGGGGGGGGGGGGGGGGGGGGGGGGGTTGCTGCCCCGGGCTCAAGGATCCCAAACGTGAAAGAAGAACTGACACCCTCGATGGGGGCCCACATCCGCACGGTTTCCTGTTTTTCCCTTGAAGTGAACAGAGCCCTGGGTCGATACCACAGAAGGGAAGAGGGAGGGGTCAGTCGCGTGACAGGGTTTACTGCAGCCCCGAGTAGGGGGGTTGAGATGTCACCCCCAAAGCATCCTCTTGTCTAAGTTCAGTCTTGGCAGGGACCCAGCTTCGCAGGAGCCGTGGAACCTTCCGGAAGGACACGGTGGAGACGGTGGGCACCAGTGTGGACGGTGGCTGGGCACCTGGGCTGCAGAGCTCTCAGAGGCTCAGGAACACCAAACCGCATCCCCACCCCATCCTCGATTCGACACCTCCTACCCCGTCCTGTGTCTTCACTGCCACCCAGCGAGGCTTCTTCCCAAACTTTCTCCTCTTCCTTCCTGGGTCCTCAGCACTAGGACAGCCCCGCTGTCTACCAGAGGCTGCGACTGAGACCCAGTCAATTGTTACAGCATCTTCCGGGTGCCACCCCCCCCCCCCCGCCGCCAGGGCTCCTGCTGCCTTCTGTCCACCCAGCAGCCCCAGTGACCTCTCTCTGATGCCCACCTGACCACTCTCTTCCCTACAATGACCATCCTCTGTCCCTTGGCAAAACACGCCGTGGGTTCAAGTCCCCGCAAGTAGCCCAGATCGAGTTGAGAGGGACAGTTGGGGCCCTGAATGAACAGCCTCAACCCAACAGTCATTCAGGCAGTACACATGTACTGAGGGCCACCCCTCCATGCTGGAAACACAGTGTGACACATTAGGCAGCTTCGTGCCTGCTGTCCTGGAGTGCAAAGTCCAGGGGACATGTCGGGCCAGGCCCCTCCCCATCTGGTGGTTGGCCCAGATCGGTCCCGGTGGGAAAGTGGGACACAGGGGCCCAAATGGGCATCTTCCAGAGTGAGAGGCAGCGCATCAAGCCTGGAGGATGGAGGCAGCCCTTCCCGGCGTGGGGATTGGCCTGGGGTGTCCCCCAATCAAGAATGGGAAGAGGGTTAAGGATCAGAGGACACAGTTTAGGGAGGAAGGGCAGGGTGTGAGGTGTGAAGAAGTCCCCATAAGGGGCGCCCGAGTGGCTCAGTCGGTCAGGCGTCCGACTTTGGCTCAGGTCATGATCCCACGGTTCGTGGGTTCGAGCCCCACGTCGGGCTCTGTGCTGACAGCTCGGAGCCTGGAGCCTGCTTCCGATTCTGTGTCTCCCTCTTTCTCTGCTCCTCCCCCACTCCTGCTGTCTCTCTCTGTCTCTCAAAAATAAAATAAAAATATAAAAAAAAAAAAAGAAGTCCCCATAAATCCAAGGCTAGGGGCACGGGGGTTAGGGCTGCTGACTTGGGGCCTGTGCTGCCTGGGTTCAAATCCCGGCATTGCCATTTATGAGCTGTGCAACTTTGGACAAGTTACCTAACCTCTCTGCGCTCCACATTCTTCACCAAGAAGGCAGCATGAGGAACAAAAGCATCTACCTCATAACGTGCGAACGTTAAATGTTTCGATGCACCTGGGACACCGGGAACTGTCCCCCCCCCCCCAACTCCCTGGCACACACTGGTATTAAATTCAACCCTGTAACAAAATTGTTACTGTTTGACCAGAATGTTATCTCATGGATCTTTCTGTTTCTTCCCTACCTCCGGGCTCCCTCCTTGCTCATCCCTCTCTCTTTCTCTCTCCTTCCCTTCCCTCTTCCCTGCCACGGTGGTATAATGACTTAGCCACATTAGTTCAGTCCTCGCTCTCCCACTTACTTCCTCCAGCACTCTGGGAATGTGGCTTAGCCTCTCTGGACCTCAGTTTTGCTCACCTGCGTAATGGAGATAATAATAGGACGGACTTTACCCGGTTGTGGGGAGCATCAGGGGAGGCCATGCGTGTAATATGGGTAACCAGGTGGCAAGCCCATAATTAGGCCTGTGAAAATAGAAGCCGTGGGTGGGCCTGCTTTCAGAAGAAAACTGTCTCCCCAGGCCAAGGTCCTCACCACCGCCCGCGGCCCCGCCGGCCCCTCCAACCCGCCCCAGCGGACCAGGACAGCGACGCCGTTCGCGGCGCATGTGAGTGCGAGATACGTGCGAGTGGGTGGGCGTGCGACTGCGTGTCTGCGTGTGAATGTGGGAGCACACGCGTGTGACCCTCTGTGTGCGTGTGCGTGTGTGTTGGGACGTGGGACGTTGAAGGTTCCTTGGAAGGAGCGGCCTCGGGGCTGGGTCTCAAGGGACAGAAGGGCGGTGGGCAGCGGGCAGCGTGGACAGAATCGGCAGGCGCGCGGGGTCCTGGGTCGGGGCAGTTGAAGCCAGCGCCTGGTGTGACCGAGCAGAACAGATGAGCTTGGTGGGTGCACCGGGGGCTGATCGTGTGGACCCCGGAGGGCCGCGGAAAGCCGTCCGCAGGGCTGGGAGCTCCTAAGTCAGAAAGACGGCCCGGCATCAGGACCCTGCCCCCTGGCACTCACTGGCAGACACCCATCAGGAGGCCGTGTCCCCAGGTGGTTGAGCGAATAGGCTCCGATGTCACCTGTCCTGGGTTCAAGTCCCCGTTCTACCATCGTGTGGCATGGACAAATTACTTACCTCCTCGGGGCCTCAGTTTCCCCAGCTCCCCACCAGCAGGTTAACCGAGCGCCTGCTGCGTGCCACGCCCATCGTGCTTCATCCAGTGGGCTTGGCACGGTCACCCCTCGTTGACAGATGAGCAAACTTAAGTCGCTCGTCCTGGGAGAAGCCGGGACTCAGCCCCCAGTCTGTCCAGCTTGGGCTCAGGCACGTTTGGCTGCAGGATGGCCACGCCTCTGGCCTCTTCCATGATGGCACAAGGTCCAGTGGGAGCTGCCGTTAATCAGAGCCTGGTCACTCCCCACACCCACCTCCCCGGGGCTCAGAGAGGGGAAGCATATTGCCCATAGTCCTACAGCAAGAGAGGCAGCCTGTAACCAAACCCGCCTCTCTGGCACAAAATAGGTGCTCGAAAGACTTTGGGGCGCCTGGGTGGCTCCCTCGGTTAAGCCTCTGACTCCTGATTTCGGCTCAGGTCATGATCTCACGGTTCATGGGCTCGAGCCCCGCGTCAGGCTCTGCGCTGGCAGTGTGGAGCCTGCTGGGGATTCTCTCTCTCCCTCTCTCCCTCTCTCTCTCTGCCCCTCCCTGCTCACTCCCTCTCTCAAAATAAACAAATAAACTTAAAAAAAATTTTTTTTTAAAAGTCAAGATACTTTAAAGATGCCTTGGGCACATTGC